AGAGTCACTTCCTAGTGAGATGGGTGGTGACCAAATTTGAAATATAAATAAATATAAATAAAAATAATAAAATTAAATTCCTGCAAGAGAAAAATAATTTTAAAAGATACAACAAAGAGATTCCCTGCTTCCCTTGCTCGGCTTGTTTTACTGGCTCCCTGCGTACAAAGACAATTTGATTCTAGACCTGCCAAGAGTGATCATTTTCTGCTAAGACTACATCTAAGTGGGCTACCTGGGTGTATTATTTTCTGCAGGGGTGGCTCATCTCTGCAGGGGTGACAAGTTTCCACCGATGGCTCATCTCTGCAGGGGTGACAAGTTTCCACTCCCCTGGAAATCTGGTTTGACAGCTTTCTCTTCCAGCCTAAGTGACTGGCCACAATGAGCCCCCTCTGGTCTCCAGTTCTGGCTCATTAAGGCAGTTCTGGGGTTAGGAGCATTGCTTGCCAGAGCCCAGAAGTTCACATGGGAAAGTCTATGGGACTTTCCCATGGGATTTGGACAAACAGGCTTCATGCAATTAGAATATCTGAAAATGTATTCCAGCATAGTCCTGGGTAGATATGGAATACCAGATGGCTCAGCAAGCCATCATTGGAGAAAACTCTTCTCAAATTGCACAGTTCCCAGTGCACCCTAGTGTTTAAAAATATTTTATTCTGCCCCTAGTGTTCAGGCTTTTAAAATTTTGGACTAAGAGCCGAAAGGACTCTATAGTTGGGTCAACATTCAGAAAATAGAGCATACATAAATGGCTGCAGAGTCTTATAATTTAAACTTGTTCTCCTGTGCAGCTGTACCTCATTAGAAAGCTGAAGAATGGTGCCTTTTCCATCCCTTCCCGGGACCAGTCCTTGGGCCTTTTCTCATCCCTCCTTTGCCTCTGCCATTGCCATTTCCACTCCATGCTGCTTCACTGGATTAGATGTTTCTGGAAAGCTTCTGTCCTTGATTTGCACGGTGACTTTTGGCAAATCTTATTCAGCCTCTTTTTTTGATAGACTAATACACTGCATGCACAATTATTAGGCAAGTCGTATTTTTGAGGATGAATTTCATTATTGAAC